AAACTCAGCATTACACAGCAGAGTGCTTTATTTGCTCTGGATTACTGAGCATAAACCTCAGATTTGAGCTCCCTGTGCAGAGCAGGGATTGGGGCTTTCACAGGCAAAGTTCAGGATCAAGTTAAAAGGGCAGGGAAGGCTGGGGAAGCCCCAGGGTGGGATCAGAACAATATTTCCAGTTTTCTCCCTTGCCCCAGCAATCCCTGCTTTGGGGACATGGGAAGGGGGCAGAGCAGGACGCTCTGACTAGCCCATGGGAGCTGTTACTGCCTGGCCTGGCTCAGAGCAGGCCCCAGGCTGGCCCAGTCTCTGCTGGGACCTGGGAAGACCTTGGGATTGGAGTGCATGGACACTGCTCCATCCTTGCCCAGCACCTTTGTGCAGTGTAGCTTCCTGAGGAAAAACAGGGAGGGAACTTGAGGGGATGGGCTGCTGCTGCTGTTGGATAACTGGGGATGTGAAGGATGCCATGGATTACAATTTCCTGCCTTGGAAAGGGAAGGAAGAAGAATGGGGGGGACTTTTTTTGTTGGAAGGTGAACGTAAAAGTCAGCAGTGACAGGCCCCTCTCCCAAATGTGGGATTTCAGCAGAGGGACACGGGAAGCAGCAGGTGCCCTTGCCCAAAGGAGCACAAATGAGGAATAACGTATTAAACAGCCAAAAAGGCAGCCAGATGCAAATGTCCTTGGACTCCTGGCAGGATGAAACCAAACTGGTCCTCACGTCCCTGCCTGTGTCCCCTCAGCGTTCTGGTGGCCCAGGGAAGAGCCAGCTGGAGGGAGAGGGCAGCTTTGCCCAGGGCACCCAGCAGGACACGCTTCCTTCCCTGGCTGTTCTGCTAATGGGGGGTGACAGCTCCTGGTGCTGTTCCCAGGGAGGGATCCAGCTGTGTGCTCAGCCCTGTTCCCACAGGGAAGCCCGTTCCAGCTCTTTCCAGCCCTCTTTGATCTCTGTTTGACGTGAGGAGACATGTCAGGCAGGTAGAGGGAAACAAGCACAGCCCCAGTCCCTGCTGGCACATGACCTGCTCTGAGCTGGGCTCTGAGCACACACCTGCCTCGAGCCACAGATCCTTATCAGCCCCATTTCCTTTCTCTCCACGCTTCTAGAGCTTCTAGAGGCAGCTCTCTGCAGCTCCTTCCCTGCTCAGCCACGTGCTGTGCTCCGTGCCCCCTCTCCCTGGCATTTCCCCTCTCTCCAGGCAGAACCAGTGTGGGAAATGCCCTCCTGTGTCTGGGTGTCCTGGACCTGCTGAGGGAGCAAATGGAACAAGAGCATTGTTGAAATGCAGCGAACTCTGTCTGGGGTCACCTCCAGTCCCAGCTGCAGGATGGTGTGGGGAGGAGAAAACCAAACAGAGGTGAACTGCCTTTGTCAGCTGTCGGCTTCCCTGTGCTATGGGCAGGCTCCCTGGCTTTGCCAAGCTGGGAGTTGCTGGGCCATCTGCTCTGGTTGTTTTACAGGGCTTTCAGGGCTGGAATGCTCTGGTAGGAGAGATTGCTGCCCAGCCCTGCAGCCCCACGTGAGCTGTGCTGCTCAGATGGGGCCCAGTTTACCGAGCTCTTGGCTTTACTGATGGATCTGCTGCATCCGGACTCCTGCTGTGAGGATTCCTGGGAAGCTCGTCAGCCCTCCCAGCCCTCTGCCTTCCCCTAGCCAGCAGGGGGACGGGGCTGCCTTCCTGCTGCCCCACCTGCCGCATCTGTGGTGGGAGGTGGCTCTTGGTGTGGCTGGGCTGCCACCAAGCAGGCCCTGGAGCTGCACTCGCCCTTCTCCCCCTGCCTGGTGCTGCAGTTGGGACAATTTCTTCAAGGAGCCTGGAAAGAACAGGCCCTGCCCGCTAGGAAAGCAATCCAAGGGTGGGAAGGGAAACTGAGGCACAGACAGGGTGCTGACACCTCACTGACTCTGTAACACTTTATCTTTTAGATATCCTGCTCTGTCCTGCAGGATTCAGGATCCTCTGAAGCAATGGGAAAGGAAGCAGAAGGAAAACAAAAGGGTTTTCCTGCTAGCTTTGCTCACAGGAAGCCCTGTGCTGTCTGAGGGAACCACCACCACCCAGAGCTGAGGCACTGGGCTTTGAGGCTGGGTCAGGGCAGAGCAGAAGTTCAGGCAGAGGAAATTCCTGTTCCCATTCTCCTCCTTTCTTAGTTCACCGTAAAGCCACAATTAAAGATTAATTGCCCCCAAATAATATAGCAGAGCTCACACCCACCAGCATCTCCTTGTGCCCGAGACTGGACCTTTGGAGCAGCTCCATGTGAGGTTGTTAACTTCCTTTGGGGTTCTGGGGTAACATGACTGTGTTATGAGAACCAGCAGCCTCTGCATAAAAACCATGCCACAAAAAAAAAAATTCTCTTTGGGTAGCCTTGGTTTTGTGCTTTTTGGTTTTTTAAATAAAGTAAAATACACACTGTGGGATACAGCAGTTGGCCACGAGCGGGGTGGGAGTGAGGGAAGCTCACAGAACTGGGGGATTTTACTCTTTGTTGTTTGTTTAATCAGCTTTGGTGTTGTGTTTTAATCTCAGGTGTCACACAAAGGAAGTTCTGAAGTTTGTGCTGGAGTCATTATTAAATGGACATGTCCCCAGAGAAGGCTGTTGGACATTTCTGTTCCTGTGTTAAAGACACCTCTGCTCCCTCAGCATCAGCCCTGACAAAGCAGTGCAGGAAGGGTCCGTGGCCCTTTGCTGGTGAGGAACAAACTGGTTTAACTGGAGTCCTTTCCCTGCACACCTGACCTTGCAGCCACCTCTGAGCCTCGCATGGCTCAGGCAGGCCGTGCTGCCCTGGAGTCAGCTCAGCTCTGATGGGAAACAGGCACACGAGGAACGTCCCAGCCCCAGTGCCAGGCAAGGAATGATGAAACCAAATTTGGCCCTGAGGATTGCTCCCCTTCTCCCAGCTGAGCTGAGCTCCAGCCTGACCTGGGACATTATTTCCTCCCCCCACACCCTCTGTTTTTCAGGACAGGCCTTTTCTGCTGGATCCACTTGGATATGAACAGCACAACAGAAGCAATAAGGAAGCTCCTCCCTATCCCTTGCTCTGCCCACTTCAGACGTGCTGCCAGTTTGCTGCAGGGGACGAATTATCCCAGCTTGGGGACCTCCCTTACCTGGGAGGCCTCAGCCCAGGTGCTGCAGGGAGTGTCAGGGAGCAGGTGCCTGTTCCAAAGCACAGCCAAGCTGCACATCCCAACTGCTCCATGGGGCTCATCCATAGGGTGGCTTTCTACATCCCTTCCCAGGGCAGGTGGGCTGGTTATCTGTTAAACAGGGAGAGAGCAAGCTCAGGAGAGGAAATCAGGCACTTTCCTGTTTGTTTATCCTGAACAAAAGCCTGTTTGGCTGGTCTGGCTGTTGCCACCTCTGGCCCAGCTGCTGCAGAGCTCCCTCTTCCGCTGCCATGAAAGGAAGAAGGACGGAAAAGTCTCCCAGGAAGTAAAAAACCAGTCAGTGCTGCCATCAGTCACTCTGAAGCCACAAAACTACAGGGCTTTGGGTTAAACGGCCAGGCTTTTACCAACTCTGGGCCCTCCAGCATGAATTCATCACAGTAATGCTCTGGACCCACACAGATTTGCTGCTGCCACCTGCTGGGAAACAGCGTGGCCCTGCTGCTCCTGTGACCTCTGGAAAAGGTGAGCCCTTCCAGTCCTTCCTCCTGCCCCCGAGAGCAGCAGAGCTCAACCACACAACAGCCCCCAGACCCGAGAGTTCAGCAATAAACACAGTATAAACAAGGGGTTCATCAAACACACTCCAAACCAGGACTAACACACTGCAGACAGCCCCAGGTTCAAGAGCAGCTTTGAAGTGTGAGGAGGTCGTAGCAGCTTTTAGGCATTGAGGCAGGGAGAGGGCCAAGGAGCAGTTTAACAGACAGGGAACATTTGTAGAAGGAATTACACCCAAAAGCAAAGGCAGCGGTGATTGATCAGACCCAGGGGACACCGACAGAGCCTCAGACACCTCCAGAGAGGGGAGAGCAGGAAACACTCCACACTCCACGGGAAGCTCAGAGCTGGAGGGAGAGGGAACGCAGAGCCCCGGGAGCTGAGCAGGGATTTCAGCCCCGCTGTCTGGAGCCCAACACCTGGAGAGTGAAACTAAAGCAGGAAGTGCCGAGGGGGCTTAAAAGGAGCCTTGGGAGAACGGTGGAAGCTTCCCCAGAAGTGTCTGAAGCAGGAAAGCAGAAGAGTAAAGGCCAAGAGCACCGGAGGGGGAGAAGATCTGGAAGTTATTTGAGAGTTACGTACCAGACTCCTCAGCTGCATGAAATACTTTGCAAGCTCAGGCACCTCATCACTGCAGGAGCATTCCCTGCCCAGCAGAAAAAGCAGGAAAGGCTTTCCATGTCACCAGGGGTGAGGGCAACAAGTCCAAGGGGCTGAAACGAGCCCACCATCCACAGCAGGCTCCCCAGGAACCCTCAGGGCAGCAGTGACACCCACCGAAGGGTGTTTCTGAGGGATAACAGATCCAATCTGCAGGATGTTGCCAGGCTGGAACTGCACAGGGAGAGCAGTAAAAGCCCTCACAAAAACAAGACACTCTTGTTACAGGTACTACCTTGTTGCAGGAATTCAGTGTAAGACTCACGTTCCAGGCTTTTGAGCCGTCGGGATCAAGCCCTGTTTACCTGTGCCAAGTGCCTTTTATCCCGAGAATCCAGCACAAGCAGGACGTGTCTTGCCCCACTGACCCAACCTTCGTTCTTCTGAGACAGCAGGAAATAAAGCAACAGCCCACACTGCCACCCTTGGGCCTGTGACATTTATTGAAGGCTGGTTATACAATCTCCCCCATCACATCCTCCTCACAGTTCAGCCTCCCTAAATAAAAAAGAGCATTGATGGAACAGAGAATTCTGCCCATCCCCGACTGCCTGAGCCACGGAGCACCACGTCACCCCCCCTGTATGCTGACCCTGGAGAGGAGCCCCCCGGGGCAGGAGGAACACATCAGGGTGCAGCAACAGGAGGGAGAGATGTCCCGTTTCCAGCAGGATTTCCTGCAGAGGAGCCACCTTCTGCCCCGTGCCTGAAATCCATGTGCTGCACAGAGCGGATCTGTGCCCTGCTCACCCCAGCACTCAGCTGTGCCTCCAGTGCTGTGGTTCCCACAGGCACAGCAGAGCCACTGCCCTAAGCTGAGGTGTCCTTTTGCTCTCAGGTGACCCCTGGAACAGGACTGGCTGGATGGAGGGCGAGCCCTGAGCGTCCCTGTCCCGTAGTCCAGGCCTGAAGGCACTGAGGCAGCTGCGAGCCCTGATTGGTACAGCACAGTCGGGGAGTCACCCGGGCTACCTGTTCCTCCCAGGAGGGAGCAGATGGGAAATGCTGCTCCTGGAGCTCAAACTGCCTGGAAAGGGGCAATTCTCAAGCCTCGAGCGGTCGGTGCAGCCACAGCTCTGCCCGCACGTGGGAGGAAACGCAGCTCTGGTGTCAACGCGCGCTCGCTTTTATTGGATTACGAATTGAAAAAACGGGGTGATTTCCGTTTCCTCTGCTTTTACCAACGAGGAAACCGCGATGATTTTGTTGTGGAGAGGGCAGGGCAGAGGCTGCCAGGCTCACTGAGGCAGCTGCAGGAGCACGGACTGTCCGGAGGGCAGGTAGGTGATGTTGCGGGACCGCGAGAGCTGGTACGCGATGTCCTCGGCCGCCTCCAGCTTGCGCAGCTCGATCAGCCCGTCCCCGGCTGTGGCCAGGGAGTTGGCAATCAGCTCTGCTGCCTTGGAGTCTCCCTCAGCAGAGATCACCGCTGCCTTCTTCTGCTGCTCGGCCTGGAAGTGAAAGAAAAGGGGGCAGTGATGATTTTCTAGAGGAAAGGAGCCAAACACGAGGCTGTTGTTGAGTTTGAAACGTCCTGCCCCACCTCACCACCCTCCTGTTCTCTACCCCCAGAAACTCAAGGCAGTGTTATTTTGGATTGTTTTTCTGCCTACTGTGGGGAAAAAGAAAAGAATTTCAAGATGATTTTCAACCTCAGGAAACATTAATCCACCTAAGGGTGGAAAATTGTCTAGGAGGGACTGGAGAACTTCAGCAAGAGAGTTAAAACCAGGTCAGATCAACTGTTGAGTCACCCTGGCTGATGATGTGCATCTTGCTGCATCCACAGGATTGATTTTGGGGGATTCTGCGGGTTCTTGCCACCTCAACGGGCACAGACCAGCTGAGAACACCTGCACTGAACACAGAGTTGTCTCTGCAGATGCTCACGAGATCCTGATCCCAGATGACCTGTCAGTAACACTCCCAGCACACAGGTCCCTGTGCCCGTGTTATCAAACACCCTGCAAAGCTCTGACCACCCTCTCAAAATCCACAAACACCCAGGCTCTGCCCAGGTGAGCAAGGTGTTCTCTGGAAGCTGGAGGGGGAAGGAGACACCAGCAACAAATCCCATGTTTCTCAGAAGGACAAGTTACCTTTTCCACAATGAATCTGGCTCTCTCTGCTTCCTGCTGGGCCACTTGCTTCATTTCTACCGCCTCTGTGAACTCCTTGCCAAAGGTCAGGTGGGTCTGGAGGGCACAAATCAAACCAAGTCCACAACACTGACAGTTCTCAGCAGCTCTGCTGAGACCCTGCCTGGACCACTGACACTGGAATGGAGGGGGAGAGCCAGGATCCCAACAAGAACAGCAACTGGGACAAGTGGATCTCCCCATCCCACACCCATCACCACCCTCAGCCCGGGCTGCTCCTGGGATGGGACAGGGGAAAGCTGTTTCCTTCAGGAGTGTGCTCAGGGGAAAGGCACCAGAAACAAAGTGTCAAAAATGACGTTTTGCAGAAACAAAGTCACCTCCCTCCCTGCAAACACTTCCTCCATTCCGAGGGAAGCCCCAGGAGAGAGAAGGAGAGGTGGATGTACAGGCCAGGTGACAACACATTTAATTTACAAAGGAAGAAATTTAGCTTGTAAAGGGAGATGGGAGGGCAGAGCCCCCTCCTTGGACAGGCCTAGAAGAGGAGAACCAGAAAATGCTTTGCAGATAAAGCTGCTCTCACAGAGGGTGTTTTCACCCCTCCTCATTCCTGGTGCTTCCTTGGGGTGCCTGTGGAACACCTGCCAAATCCAGAGGCAGGTGCAGCCCAATCCATCAGCCAGGGAAGCATCTGCTCTCCACTGGAGCTACAAGAGCCCTGCACAGGGAGGGCTGTGGACACAGCGGAGCCACCAAGGGCTGCTCAAGGTCACAGGGACAAAGCCAGAGGAGCTGACCCGAGCTGTGAGCACAGCACTCCTTCCAAAGGCACACACAGCCACACTCCCAGCCTATCCACTGACTCTGAAGAGGACAATGGCAAAGGGACAACTCCTACCAGGGACACGTCGTCCAGGATGAGCCCAAAGGTCGCTGCTCTCTCAGTGAGGTCCTCGCTCACCTGCCTGGAGACCAGCTCCCTCTGGGTGATCAGCTCCCCAGCGTCAAAGCGAGCCTGCAACGGGAATTTCTCCATGGAAAGGGTGCTCAGGCCCCGGCAGGGGCTGCCCAGGGAGGTTTGGAGTCACATTCCTGGAGGCGTCCAAGGCAGGCCTGGCCATGGCACTCGGTGCTCTGGGCTGGGGGACAAGGGGGGTCGGGCACAGGGGGGACTCCGTGGTCTCGGAGGTTTTTTCCAACCTCAGGGGTTCTGGGATTCTGTGAAAGCTTCCAGAAGCAGGAGATTCTCCGTGAAGGAGATTCTCCAGAAGCTGTGGCTGCTCCATCCCTGGAGTGTCCAAGGCCAGGCTGGACGGGGCTTGGACCAAGCTGGGTTGGAAGTGGATGAACTTTAGGCTTCCTTCCAACCCAAACCATTCTGGGATTGTTATTCCAAGGCACGACACATTCCACGCTCCAGGGGGTCCCTTGCTGCCAGGACAGGGAGGGGAGACCCCAGCAGCTCCTGGCCCGGCCTTACCACGACAGACTTGAGGATCTCGGTGGTGATGGAGGGCAGGACACGCTCGTCGTAGTCCTCGCCGATGCTGGTGAAGATGCGGGGCAGCTGCGCCGTCACGGGGCGGAACAGGATGCGCAGCGTGATGTTCACGTTCTGCAGGTCTGCGGAGAGCCAGCCCTCACTGACTGCCCTGCCCATCCAGCCTTTGATTTGGGCCAGAAACTGAGCTGCTCTCACTGCCCCTTCCCCTGGCCTTGGAAGGGCCCTCTGGAGATCACCCAGTCCACCCCCAGGGGCACCTGGAGCGGGTCACACAGGAGCTCATCCAGCTGTGTTTGGGATGTCTCCAGAGAGAGAGACTCCACCCCCTCCCCGCTCACCTCTCCAGTGCTCTGCCACCTCCGTGGCAGGGATTTCTCCCTCACACTGAGGAGGAACGTGTGGCTCAGTTCATGGCCATTGCCTGAGGGCCCCATCTCCGCTCCCAGAAGGAGGACGTGACCGCTGCTCCCGTGTTCCCGATCCAAGGGCTCACCTTTGCTGCCGGTGATGACGGGGATGTTGCGGGGGCGCGAGCGGCAGTCGAAGATGATGGGCTTCTGCACCCAGGGGATCAGGAAGTGCGTCCCTTCCCCCACCACCACGTCCTGCACCCCTCGGAACCGGTCGAAGATCACGGCCCTGTGTCCTGCATCCACTGGGGAGGGAACAGCTCGTCAGGGAATTGCCAAACCCACCCCTGGGAACGGGCTGGGCTCCCCTCGGAGCAGCTCCGTGCCAAGGACCTCCCAACCCTCTCGTTTGTGCAATGCTCGAGGTATAAACCAGCCAGCAAGGCCCACTCACCGTTGTACAGAGCAGAATTCACGACTCCTCCTGCAACAGCCAAGCCCAGGCCGAGCTTCCCGATGCTCTCAAACACCTTCGCAGCCATTTCACACCTGCAGCTCCAGCCC